GAGGAGAGGCGGCCAGCGCCGGCTGGGGCCAGCTGAGGGCAGAGACCTGGTGGGACTCGTGTCCCCTGCACGGGGGCGGGGGGGACACACACTACACGGACACATTAGCCCCTTCCCCAGGGGCCGACCTGGAGAGCTCGGTGCCACCTCACGGGTGCCAAGCGCAAAACCCTGCGGTTGCCCTCTCCCTGGGAAGGCAGAAGGCAGTGGGAAGATGCCGCCACCCCTTTCACCACCGTCCCAGTAAAGACGATTTTTTCCCACTGAGCAGCTGCTGGTCCAGCCAGCCCACCGGGGACGGACACCCCAAAGAGATGGGCAGCTCTCCCAAATCACGGCTTGGGCTACTCCTTCCCCCCCAGCTCCAGCCCTGGTATAAAACCCCAAGGAGTGCAACTGTCCTGATTCAGCCAGAAAGTAATTAGTTTAAACGAAAAAGTCATATTCCCAGCCAGGTTGGCTCCCAAACAACCCCACGGAAAGGGCAACGCTCAGAGAGGAGGCAGGGTCAGAACCACCAGGACAGAGGTTTCCCACCTGCAGCACCACCAGGCTTCAGGAGCTGGCAGCATTTTAACCCCCCCAGCAAATGCTTTAAATTCGAGGGGGAGATTTGAGCTGGCACCGGAAGAGCCGGCTCGCCATCGTCTGTATTCCAGTCGCTCCTCCTTTTGTTCTCCTCTCCCCGCATTTGCCGCCCTGAACGAAATCCTGCGACTCGTTTGGCATCTGCAGCCAAACGTTCTCCCGACGTACAATCCCAGCTGCCGGCTTCGTGCCCATCTCACGGGCACGTGGTCTCCTGCCAAAACGCGGCCGGGCTACTGACGAGAGGGCTCGGGGACAAGCATGAAGGTCCCATTGCCCCGCGGCCCCGTCTGCCGTTGGCCACAGCAAATGCCTGAAGAGGAGTCGCAGGGAGCGACCTGGACCCCAAATCCTCTCTGGGCTCCAGCTTCTCGCACCTCCTGAGCCGGACGCGTCTTTGCATAACCTTCAAGTGCTTTTTCCTCCATGACTCGGTCACCTCCATGCTTCTCCATGCCCACTATGCCCCGCAGCAAGGGGTTGCGCCGGCTGGGGGCACGCACAAGCCCTTGGGGCAACCCAGAATATCAGAGAGGAACATCTGGGAGCCCCAGAGCGATGCACACAGATGTTCTCCTCCTCCTCCTCCTCCTCCCATGGCCCCCCCAGTCTCTCCAAAGCGCAGCGCAGAAGGGCCGGCTGGAAGCCCTGGGGTCTTTTTACCGGCGCTCATCTGAAAGGGGAGCCGGGGAAGGTGGGACCTGTTTTGCAAACTGACTCCTGCCCTGGGAGTTTCCTCATCCCTCTGCAGCCGAGAAGCCCCCCGAGAAGCGGTCGCTCAGGCCACGCCAAGGCCCCGTTTTAAGCATTAACAGGAAAAAAAGAGATGGGGGAAAAAACCCAAACCTGTGCCACTGAGATTTAAGTGAAAGATTCTGGGGGCTTTTTTAACTATTAATAGTGTTGTCAAACCCCAGTGATCTCTTCTCCTTAAAGAAATCGGATTTATTTTCCCAGGGAATACCAGGCATAGTTGAAACAGCCACAGAAGTACCAATACCCACCAGTGACTGGGGCAAAGTCCCTCTGGGTGCCTCCCGGGGACGTCCCTTCCCCTCTTTGGGACGAGCCATGGTCTCTGTAATACCCCACAGAAGTCACCCGTGACTCCGTTTACCCACTTGGGCTGTCCCCCTACAGCCTACTGCAATTGTAGAAGCAAATTCCCTTTCTGGAAGGGGGAAATGAGAGGGAGGACCATCAGGCGGGTAAATTTGGGGTCCTGTAAAGCACTCAGGCACCCTAAAGCACCTGAGCTTACGGGCAGCGGAGACACAGCGGGAGAGCAGCCGCACCCCAGGGAGGATGAAGAGCAGGAGAAAAGGGGTTGTCAGGACATTGAAGCAAAGGGGACGAGCGGGAGGACACAGAAACCAGTTGCCCAGAGCAGCGGAAAAAGCTGAAACACAGCACACACGGAGACGGAGACGCCAGGAAAAGCTGGGATGCTCCGTGACGGATGTCCGGCGCAGCTCCCCGTGCCGTCAAAACCCGCGCCGGCCACTTTCCTCCCTCCCATCAACAAATACAGTCATCTCCAGAATTATTTTGCAAAGCAAAACTGTTTGCCTTTCAGTCTCGCCTAGGCAACACGGTGGATTCACCAGCCTGCACCTGGTCTTAATAACAGCCTCGTTACCTCCTGAATGCACGTGCAATTAGTCATGTACACAGCGCCGTGCTGCCGGTGTCACCACCAAATGCCTCTGCTGCGGGGGAGCAGGCTGGGGGAGGCAGGATGGGGATGCTTGCACATGAAAACTCCCCTCACGGACGTACCTTGGGTACCTGCCCCAGCAGAGAATCTTCAGTTCTCCTGCGAGGCAGGGATGGGCTGAAAACTGACTCCAAGCATCCCAGCGTGGGCAGCACAACCGGCACTGAGCTCAAATTCTCCCAAATTCTCAGAGATTTGGGGTAGACACGGCAGAGGGGGATGCCCAGGCTGGGCGCTGCTTTCCAGGCTGGCACGCCGTGAGCGAGTCCCACAGTGCTGCCCGACGGAAGGAGCCACGGGGATCATACCGAGATATTTTGGGGGCCTGATACAGCGGGAATAAGGGGTTTCAGGACAATATAATGAAGTAATTGCCCCAGTGAACTCTTCCTGGTGGAAACTGTGCCTAATGATGCTTCAACGAGCCCCACCGATGCTCGTGCTGACAGCTGGGTTTCTCACACTGGTGCTGCAAAAGCCTGTCCCAAGCGAGGTGTGACAATGGCTGGTGGCCACCTCAGTGTGACAGCGGCCACTTCTTCATTTTGTGCCCAGGCAATGGTCACCCACAACGTCCAGCTCCCCTCAGCCCTCCGCTGTCCCCAGAATAGCCCCTGTCCACCAGGTCCCAGCGCGGTTTGGTGCTGGCGTAGGCAGCACCCTCCTTGCCAAAACCCCAACCGGCCGCGCCGACCGGTACGGGAGCAGCCCCCGGTAAGGTGCTCCGGTGGCTGATGATCGGCAGAGCCATGCAAAGTCACTGGGGGTGACCTGGGAGCCACAAAGCACAGGGAAACCCTGCGGCAAACCCTGTGGCACCAGAGCTGCCCCCCCCAAAGTGGCTTCACGGTTCGCTCCCCCCCCAAAAGGTTGTATCCCCGCTTCCCAGCCAGCAAGAGAAGATGCTGCACAAAGAGGGCTGCGGTACCCAGCTGCGTTGGGCACCACGACCTCCCAGCCAGCGCGCCAGGACAGGTGCGGGAGTTGTCCCGAGTCCTACGGGGCACGGGAATAAAAGCCCAAGGGAGAAACTGAGGCAGAAAGGGAAGATGAGCCGGAGTCCCGGAGCAAGGCACTGAACACAAGTGCATCCCAGCGGCACTTCTTGCATTCAGTTGCTTTCAAGGGATAGAGGTCTTCGGTGGAAAGCGGTCTTCGGTGGGTTTAATCCAATGCAACGCCATTTGGTGATAACTAAATGAATTTATCGGAGGGAAGAGGGTGAACAGCAGTTTTAATGGTCTGGGAAGGGGCTCAGACACCTTTCTTGTAGCGGGATAACTCTAAACCGATTGAATTTGAACGGTCAGCTTTGGCAGGTACCAGGTGTGCCAGGAGCTGGGCAGTCCAGCGGGGGGAAACCCGGCGTCCCCAAAACCCTTTTAACGGTACATGGTGAAGGTGAGAAGCAGAGGGTGGCTGCCACCCAGACCCCCCAGCTTAGCACGGGCACCCAGCCCTCGCCCAGCCG